ATATATATATATATATATATATATATATCACAACGTTTGCTTCTGCAGCGCGAACGCGAGAGCATCGATTTGTTTAGTTATTTCCACAAAAAGTTTATACTCTTCTTGTACAGGAGCGATATCAGCCTTCAGTCTCAAAGGCATGCCGTGCTCCTGTTTGAACCGGAGGTGATAAGCCGCTAGTTTATCTCCTAGCAAGCGGCGTTCTCGCTGCAGTTGGTGCAGCTGCAGAGCCATTTCCTCTCTTCGCCGCTGCAGCAGCTGTTGCCTCTCAAAGGCGGTAGGCTTCCCAATGGGTTTGTTCGTTTGCTTCTCCTTAGCCCTCGCCGGCGACCGGGGGGCCCCCACAGATGTTCCCACACGATGTGAAGCCTTGGGGCTGAGGGCGTCTAGAGAACGAGCGTTGGGGTGTCTCGTTAGACGCTTCAAGATACCTGCAGTTGGGGAGGCCGCTGCAGGGGGAGAGTTGCTGTCGGCGGTGCTGCGTCTTGTGCTGCTTGCAGCACTGGAGACTTCTGGGAGCGACGCAGATGCTGCTGAGACACTCTCTGCTGCTGTAGTAGTAGCAGCAGCAGCAGCAGGAGGTGCGTTGCTTTCCGCTGCCGCCAGATGCTGCTCTAGCCTCTGCTTTATCCGCTGGTAGTGCATGTACACCGGCCTGAGGGGCTCCTTGTCTTGTTTCAGTGGCTGGCGACCAAAGTGAGCAGCAAAAGCTGTATTGTAGCCTCTCAGCTCTTGTTTCAGTTGTTTCTTTATCTGCTGCAAGTCCTCATGAGGAGGCTTGGGAACAGCAACAGGTGGAGCAGAAGAAGAGGAAGCGTCTCCAAGTCCGAGGGGACCCACGCTGCTACTGCTGCTGCTGAAATTGTCTTGCTCTCTCCCCTTCCCCCTGAACGCCTTCAGGCGCTGCTGACAGCCGCGTAGCCACTCAGCAGCAAACGCATGCACCGCAGCCTCTGCGCCGCCGCTGGTGCTGCTGCTGCTGCAGCGCGCAGCAGCCACCGCTGCAGCAGCAGCCGCACTTTCAGTTGCCACAACGTCACCTTTGTCCGCCTGAACACCGCAAACAACAACGCACAACAAAATTAATACATGCCCACGTATATGTGTATATACGTGCTTCTATACAGGCATGAATACGTATTTTTAGGACGTGAATATTGTAGCACTTATATATTAAATGTATATATATACGCATGTGGGAAGCATATCAATTTAGGGCCGATGCCATGCCTGCAAGCCTCCAGTCGCTTGCTGCTGCTGTTGCTGCGGGTACGCCTGCTCCTGCTGTCGCTGCTGCTTCTGGGTGGGTGGTGACGTGGCCTTAGCGCTGTGGCTGAGCCTGCAGCTGCTGTATTGGGGCCCTCCTGCTGAGAAGCCCCTGGCAGCAGCAGAGGCCGCTCTGCTAGGCGGCCCTCCCCCTCCAGCCTTCCCTCTGCTGCTGCTGCTGCTGCTGCTACTGTTGCTGCGCGTTGCTGCTGCAGTCTCTCCTCTCCGCCTCCCGACAGCCTGCCGCTTCTGAGGGGGCCCCTCAGCGCGCGCTACGGGGCCCCCAACAACTTGAAGTGCCGCCACTCCTGGGGCAGGTGCTGCAGCCAAGACGAGAGATGCCCCTCGGGAGGTCCCCTGTAGGGGGCCCTGCTGGTCAGGCCGTCGCTTTACTCCTTTATCCTTGTTGAGTTTTGCTGCTGCAAGCCTTGGGTGCTTCAGCACTTGAGCGGCCAGCTGCAGCTGGGGGCCTCCGTGCTGCTCCTGAGCCTCAGGCGGCGCAGCAGCAGCAGATGCTGCAGCAGAGACCGCATCCTCGATTGATGGCGCTGCGCTCTCGAGGAGTTTCGCTGCTGCCTTCTCTTCGCTGCCTGAGGCGCACTGAGGCCCCTCTAACACTTCTTGCTGCACTGGGCTCCCAAAGGAGAGGAGCGCGCGACGCGGCAGGCCATGCTGCGTTGTTGCTGCTGCTGCCGTTTGGGGAGTGCACACACCAGCTTGGGCCTCAGGAAGACAGCAGAAGCTCGTGTCGCTGCTGGCCTGCACAGAACAGCCTGCCGGTGGGGGTCCCTGGGGAAGGGCCCCCGCGGGACCCCCGCGGAGAGCAGCGTTGCTCTGGAGGCCTCTGCGGCTGGAGTTTAAGCTGCTGTAAGGGTAAGGGGAGAAGATGAGTGCCGCATCGTCTGTACTGGCTGCAACCCTTCCTTCTTGGGCGTCTCCTGATTCCTCTAGGAAGAGCTGCGCAGGAATGGGTGCTGCTGCTTCGAACGACTTCAGTTGCAGCAGCTGCTGCAGGAAGGTCAAGCCAGGAGCTCCCCCCAGCTCTTCTTTGCATGCAGGATGCAAGGAAGCTGTGTGTATCAGCGGCTGTTGCTGGTGCTGCTGCTGATGCTGCGGCTGAGACCAACACCAGCGCTGCACCGTTTCTTTGAGGCCCACCGCGACCTGCAGCTGCTCCACCATCGCGCTGCAGCGAAAGAAGGAAGGACTGAAGATGCTTAAAGACAAATGCCCAACAATAAAGTTTAGTTAATTCAATTCATTACATTAAATTAATACTCCTCCGGGAGCAGGCAAACGCCACGTGATGCTGCGCTGCGGCGCTACCGCCGCAGCGCAGCCGACGGCGTGGCTGGGAAGGCGAAGAAAAGAGCCTCCAAAAAACCCGAGAAATACAAATTAAGAAATAATTAAACAAATATATCCTTTTAAGTTTTCAACAACTGTTTGATGCAAAACATTAAAAGGTATTTGAAGCAACGGCAACGATCCGGGGCTGGCTGACGAGGCCATAGAACACGCCGCCGCATCAGATATATTTCAGATAAATGTTGCAACTTCTGCCGCTCTTTAAATTTTTTAGTCGTTTAAATTAGCTCATTTTTGTTATCTTTATCGGTTTTGCCTGAGTTAAGATGTTTGGAGGGGGATGGGCGATCAGTCAGCGCTGAGAGCCTTAGCTGCTGCTAGTGCTGCTGCAGGTATTATAATTGTTGAGTAGAGTTCTCTTGCTAGAAGAAGACCAGAAAAACGCACTAAGCGTTCTTCATAAAATACTCAGAGGGTCCTCTGTCGAACCAGTTAAGAATGCTTTCTTTAGGTGGTGAGGAATGCTCTCTATGCAGTTCTGTTGCCCTCTGCATGCAGTTATATCATTCTTTTTACGCACTGAAAAAGCTCTAACTGGTATATACTCGCTGTAAACAGGAACAGGAGGGTTTCTGCTGCAGTGATCGCACGTACTAACCTTGTATGTAGCTGTACACACACCCTAAAGATTTGCGCTTAAAAATGAACCCACAATATTACAATAATAAGAAGAGGAACACGTGGGCCTCTCTGATATGCGTAGTTTGCAGCGGGGTCTCCCCGAAGTTGGTGTTGTCTGCATTTGTGCTTGTGTGCACGCTGAAGGCCATGGAATCGTTTAATAACAATTCTCTACAGTGCTCATGCATGCAGCAAAGGGTCTTATCATGCTTGCTTGTAGGGTTTCTGGCTTGTAGTAGAAGTTGGAGCAGGGTCTGCTGCAACTTAGGAGACAGAATATCTCTTTTTTGTCTCCTATCCTTACCAGGCAGGCCCTTGTTCTGTTGTATGTGCCGGGTACGCGTACAGACTAGGGGAGGGACGGGGAAATACCCGTAAAAATCAAAATCATACTAATATTCTTTACAATTATATATATTATATATATAACATATGTATATATATGTATAGTATATAATTGCACCATCTTTATTCTACTGAGCTTTTTTTAGCTTAGGACAAAAACTTTTCGGAGGCCGATGGCTCTCCTTACAAGGCCCGTGGGTGTTCTTCTTGCCTGCAAGGAGAAGAGGCAGTAGAGGTATATTCTGTCTCCTGGGTTGAACAGCTGTAGGTATTTTAGTTAAGCGCCTCCTTGGCTGTCGACGCACCCAGGTGGAAGCAAATATAAAACGAACTCCAGAGAGAACAGGATGCAAACTACACAATGCAGAGAGGCACCCATTCCTCTCATAATCTAAGGCACTATATGCCTTTAAGGAGTACCCGCTAATCTCTTTACAGAAGCCCTCTCCCACCGAGAAGGATATAAAGTGTACATACTCCCCAAGGGAGTCCCTACTTTATCAGGTGTATGTATAGCATCGGGTATACGTAGAGCTACTATGTAACTTGCTTTGGCTTGTTATTTATTGATTTTACTGATAATGCTTTTTCTGAATATAATTATTCTGGAGATAATGGCGGCTTTAATAATAATTAAACTCATATTAATACATTCATTAATAATCTCCCCCCTGAGGCTGAGCTGCCGTTGTCTCTCCTGGCGCTCTGTGTGGGGGGGCCGCAAGGCCTGAGTTTGTCTTTTAGGGGAAACACCTAAACCTGCACACACACTGTCTCTCGTCTCCGGTTGCTGCAGCACCTGCTGCTGCTGCTGCACTTTTCCTTAATGCCTAAGCCCCGCATGCAAACAGATAAAATAACCCACCAGCCCCCATTAAATGCATGTACTGACACCGGAACCGAAGACACCTCTGGAGCGCTCAGTAATGAAAAGCCATACAAAGACAGACACACGGAACGATTTAGACATTATGCATGCGCTGCGAAGCCCCAATCTCTCCTTCAACACCACCATCTCTGATGACCCCCCACATCTTAGAATAAATGATAATACTTGTACTATAGAGGCTATCGAGTTATAGCATTTACAGGCGTTTACTATACTAACTGCGCCATATATAATATCCTTTATTGTTTAGTTTACGCCGTGTTATATCATTAACAACTATTTGTTACACTTATTACGTTTGATTGCACCATTTTTAACTCAGCCTCTACCAGATGCTTCAATTATAGAGGAACAGCTTCCTTAGAAATTCATAAGGCAGTGCCAATCGAAACATATCCTATTGTTGCTTCTGGGTGTTGGTCCTAGAACAATGCCTGACAGCCTTGAAGGTGTTGTGCAGCTGTAATATAAGACGTAAACCGTAGTAAAACAATATCTAATCTCCACAGAGGTGTTGTGTATTCAACAACAAAGGCATATATCTTCTCCAGTTACACAGGAGACTGACTACTGACAAAGAAGAACTTCCATGAAATTCCCTTTCTGGATCAATTTATATCTGAATTATTATATCACATATTATTATTTGTAACTTAGACCTTTAAGCTCTCGCTATTCTGTTTGCATTAAGGCAGCTGTATGCTGTTCGGTGGCAGTTGGCTCCCCCCACCTCTCGGCTTGTAGAGGGCTTTGCATTGCCAATAATGGTGAACATGCTTATAAAATAATAATCAATAAGCGATATGGGCCCGGATAATTCCAGTAAAAGGACAAATACCGAGCCGACTTTAAGGTTTCGGCTCCGGAACTACACCGCAGAAGGTCCTGCTGACTGCAGCAGAACGAACACCACCTCTGTGGGTGCAGAGGGGCGAGGCTGTAAACCCTAGGTTGCTCCTCCTCTTTTTGCTTTTTTTTTCTGGTTCTAATGCAACAAAAACGAATAAAAATGGCTTTGAAATGAAATTTTAACAACATTTTCACGCGGAGAACACCGCTCAGACGACAGCTGCCGGAGCGACCCCACGCCGCCCAGCCGATGTAGGGTGCTTGTAATAGGCGCTGCAGGTCCTGCAAGCAGGAATTGCAGCATACATAGTGCGGGCCTTATTAATGTAGTTTTCCTCCCTTGTTTTAATGGAGTTAAATACATGAATAATGCATTGCGCATTCCAATAAAATAAATAAGCAGCGAGAGAGATTCTCATTTCAACGGTTAATACCGCTCCTTGTACACGGCCAGCCAATGTCGACTCCCGTCCTTGGAGGAAGAAACACAGGAGATCTACACAAAATTTGTTTAGGGGATCTTTGCTAGTCTCTTTACAACTAAATAAAGCAAATAAACTAGGAGACAAAGGATCAGCTCTTTTGCTGGTGGTGCATGCACGCATTTCTGCAGCAAACCACAAGAACAGGCTCTGGGCGCTGCCGCGCTGCAGCCGCCGGGAGCAGCAGCGGGGATCGGTTGCCGTGGATTTGTATTCTGCTGATATCTTTGATGCCCTTTAAGGCATAAAAACCCTCTTATTTCGTTTATTAATACATATAAAAAGGGCTGAAGGGATGCGAGAGGCTCTGGGAGCCCAGGCCCCAGTGCTGCTCCGCGCTGCAACATGAGGGCCGCCTCCTCTTCTTCCCTTACTCGCTGCAGCAGCTGCATCATCTCAGGCCTGCTTTCCCCAGCTGCCTCTTCTTCTTTTAAATCCGCTGGCTGCGCCTAAGAAGGCCCGCGGCAGCTGAAGGGGGAGGGCTTTTGGGGTGTAGTAGGCCTGAGGGTTTAGGGTTTAGGTTCTGGCAAGACGCTTTAGGGTTGGTAGTTGGGTCTGGAGTGGTTTAAAGCCCCTCAGGGGACTCAGCAGAGCCGGTGGTGGCTGCAGCTTCTTCACTTGCCACTTGGCTCGTGCGCTGCAGCAGCTTCTGCAGCCGCTGCAGCAGGGAAGACGCAGAGGACCGGCATTGGTGTGTGTGTATTTTAGAGAGGAGGAGCTGGGATCGTTGTTGCATATCGATCCCGTTTCTAGAAGTAGCAGAAGGCCTGTTTGCTTGTATTTAAATCCGTCTAACAAATGGAGAGTACAGGGCGCTGTGGAGGTGGGGGTGTACTTCGGTGTTTGCTCCTGCCGCTGCTGCCGCTTTTGCTGCTGGGAGGATGGGGCTTTCCTCGTGTTGCATGCAGCGCTGTAAGCAGCGTAGAAGTCTCTGGGGGATTTGGCTTCCAGGATGAGCTGCGAGCAGCGAGTTCTGCTGCAGCTTCAGGGGTTGGCTGGAGTGGTGATGAACATGGGGGTGCGCGTGCAGCCCCATCTCGGCGCCCCAAGCCAGCAGGGATGGCAGCTACACGAAGAGGAGGTAGAGGGGGAGTAGGAGCTACCAGACGACCTAAGACTAGAGCCGGCGTTACTTTGAGGCCCACTAGGAAGACCATGAATAGAGGGAGAGGAATGTTTGGAGAAGCAACAGATGCTGCATCACTGCAGAGAACTACGAGAAAAATGCTGGAGTCTTATAGAAGGAGTACAAGGGCCGTTCAGGCTCAGCAGCGCTCTGGGAAGCACTCTGCATTGTTGCTGCTTGTTGCTGTTGCTGTTGTGCTAGCGGTTTCTGTTGTTTTAGCTGAGCGCAAGGCAGCAGCAGCAGAGTATGCTCGCGAAGTAGACGAAAACAATATGATGTCGGATACAGAGAAAGCATCAATGAACCAGGATCTTTCTTCTGCTGCTGCCCAAGCAGCAATGGCAAGACGTGAAATAGAGCTGCTGCAGGAGCGGGAGACGGCGGCGAGGGAAGCACTGAAGGTAATCAAAGAGCGAAGGGAAACAGCTTCATCGAGAGCAACGCAAGCGCTGCTAGCTGCGCATGCAGATACTGATGAATCCGTGAGAAGAGCTAAGGAAAGGATCGAGCAGGCTACTGCAGCAAGAAATGCAGCAAAGCAAGACCTAGAAGCGGTGCTGGCGCTCGACGGCGTCACTCCAGAGACAGCTGGGGACTTCTTAACAAGGGTGTCTACGGAGCTACAGCGATGGCAGCAAGAAGACGACCAAGTATCTACATCTATTGCTGATGTCACAGCAGCAATGCAGTGCGGGCCGGAGGAGGAGCTGCGGAAGCGTGCAGTAGAACTGGAAACCTTGGAGCAGGAGTTGTGTGCATTGAGAGAAGAAGTGAAGGGGCTGGAGGAAGAGGCATCAGAAGAACGAGCAAAAGGTGTAGAAGGGTCTGAGCTAGATAAAGAGATCTCTGCGCTGCTGGAGGAGCGATCCAAGTCATTAGAACAGTTGCTACAAAGCAGAAAAACGACAGATAGCTTGAAAACAGAGGAGGAGGAGCTACGGAGACAGATTAAAAAGGTAGAAGAAGCAACAGAGATGGATGAAGCCAAGCTTGTAGTGCTCGGGAAACAGCCTAAGACATGGACAGCTGTTGATACGTCGCGGATGTTTAGAGAAGAGGTTGATCTGCTGGAGGCGCAACAGACCCTGCAGCTGCTAGAAGCGCAGCAGCAGCTTCTCACAGAAGAGTTCAAGGATATAGATATTTCTAAAGAAGAGGCTCAGGTGAAGAAGGCTGAAGAGGAGCTCAACAACTGCACTAGCACAGACCCCACTGTACGTAAGGCCCTCAAAGACGCCTTAGATAAGGCGCGAACGAAGTTGCAGGAAGAAAACATGAAGGCTTCCAAGATATTTACTCTGAAGGCTACTATAGACAGCGAGGTCCGGGCTGCACAGAAGCAAGTAGAGCGCTGCAAGCAAGCTATTGCAGCATTAAAAGAAACACTGCCAGATCGGCTGCGCTTCCCTGCTGCATTTGGGTTGGCGACATTAATGGATATCACTAAGGAGATGGACCGTCTGCATGTATTACTGTTTGAAATCCAAGAAGAAGGCTACGACTTCTCTACTCGCGCCTTTAAGAATAAGCCAAAGGGTGCAAGTTCCCGGCAGTTCTGGAAGACCCATGTAGATCCCGCAGGGAAGAAATACCGTGCTGGAGTAGAGAAGCTGATGAAAGAAAATTCATCGATGCATGTAGCTGAAACACAGGCAACATATCAGCTTACGAGGCAGCGGCTTACGCATAATATGATGGCGTTGCCAGTCGCTGAGCTGATAGAAGCTCTTCAGAGCGGTATAACTGGAGGGGTGGGGGCGCAGCTAGCAGAAGATCTTTGGCAAAATTTTGTATCTCTTGTGGCGGAGACAGAAACTAAATTGGGCCTCACAAAAGAATTGCTGGACGAGCTAGAGACAGAGGCAGAAGTCTTAAGGCTAGAAGGCTGGGATGAAAAGAGACCTGGTGCACACATTTTTAGTGCCACAGGAATAACTGTTGTTCGTTCAAGGCTTACTGTATACGAAAAAGTTTTATCGGAGCTGCGGCAACACACGAAAGAAGATATGGATGAAGTTGCAGACGAAATGCTGCAGCGTGCTGCGTGGGGGGCCCTGACGCGGAGAGCAAGGTATGGTAATGATATCTTTGTTCAGGGGATGCTATATCAAGCTGCAGGAGATGCTCTAGATAAAGAAGAAGAAACACTCCAAAAAATCCGAGAGAAAAACCTTGCTACAGAAAGACAATATGCGCCTACACTCAGCAGCCCCCAGCGACGCCCCCAGCAGACTCCAGCAGCAACTCCAGAGAAACGAGAACCGGCGCACGAAGATACTGCTGCTGCCGGTGCTGCAGCAGCAACAGAAGCAGCAGAGAGCCAGCAGCAAGAAGATGTAATTACTCCACCTGATGAAGTACAGGGACAGGAAACAGAAGAAGAGGAGACACTGCCTCCAACGCCAGCTCCGCTGCCGGCACAGGAGACACAAACAACAACAGCAAAACCTCCAGCAACACAAACAACAACAGCAAAACCACCAACAACAGAAACAGCAGCAGCAAAACCACCAGCAACACAAGCAACAGCAGCAGCACAAGAAGAAAAAGAAGATAAGAAAAAGGAAGAAGAAGAAGAAGAAGAAGAGGAAGAAGAAGAAGAAGAAGAAGAAGAAGAAGAAGAAGAAGAAGAAGAAGAAGAAGAAGAAGAAGAAGAGGAAGATGAAGATGAAGATGAAGATAGTGATGAAGAGAGTGATGATGGCTTGCTCTGGCTAGCGGGAGAAGTTGTAGATGAATTTCCTGAGGCCTTTGATGTTAGGGATCTGGGAGACCTCGTAGGCTTTACCTACAAGGATGTGCTGACCCTGCGGCCGCGGGGTGTAAAACGAAGCGGCAGTGCAGAGGGCGATGCATCATTACCGCGAGACCAGCAAACACCACCGTAAGCAGGTGCAGCAGGTGCAGCAGCAGCAGCAGCAGCAGCTACTGCTGCTGCTACTGTTGCTACCCTCGCTCCAGACACGAACGATTTTCGAAAGACGTTGTCTACGCCCAGTTAGCCATCTAGGCTGCTTGGCGGGTAGTTACCTAGCTGGCTAGCTAGGCTGCTGGCTGGGCAGATAGCTAGATGGCTAGATAGACAGCCAGCCAGGCAGGTAGCCTAGCTAGCTGCCTGGCTAGCCCTTAAGACATGAGCTACGCGCCCACCGTCAGCTGAGCGCGCCTGCTGTTTGGTTCATTTTTGCCGCATCCGCGTCCCCCCCTCTACAAATTGCTAGCTGCCTAGCTAGCTGGCTAGCTAGCTGGCTAACTAGTTGCTTGGCTGGATGCCAAACTGGCCGCCCAGGCTAGCTGGCTAGCTAGCTGTTTAACCTGCTGCCTAGCCAGGCGCGTAGCTAGCTGCCTAGCTAGCTAGCTAGCTGTCTATCCGTGTAGCTAGCCGCGCACCCAGCTGGGGCCAGAAGAGCGCAGCTCCCCATTTGCCGCTTTTCTAACAGCACGAGGGACGGGTTCTTTGTCGCTGAGGTGTATGACGAGCAAGTGCCGCGTAAGCAAACAAACAGGTTTCTCTTGGAGCCCAGACGACATGCATACAGCCGGTGCTGTCTGCATGCGTTTAAACAACAACGAAGGAGAGGCAGCTGCAGCGCATCTGCTTTTCCGCGTCTTTGGATGCGTGCTGCTGCCAACGGTGCTGCTGCGGCTGCAGCAGCTGCTGCATTTGTTGCTCCGGTTGCTGCTCCCGCTGCCGCTCCGGCAGCTGCTACAGCCGCTGCATCAGCTGCTGCAGCAGCAGCTGCTACAGCAGCTACTGCAGCTCCTGCTGCAGATCTCCGCTGTGCATGCCGATGCGCTGCAGCTGAGGAGGCCGCGGAGCCCGTGGCAACTCCTTTTGGGGTTTAATCAAACAGTAGAGCGGCACATAGCTGCCACGAACTTGGCGTTGAAGTTACTGAACAGAGGAGTGCATCCAGCATGCAGCATGCGGCTTTGGGGCTGCCTGCATGCGCAGCAGAGGCCGCTCCTCTCGTGGCCTCAGCACCAACAGCAAACCTTCGCACTTGGAGTGTATGCATGCGGCAAGGCGGCTGGGTAGCTGCTCCTACACATACAGACAGACACATATTGACCTCTTGCTAGCAACAGCTAGCCACACTACCCATAGCTAGTCACAGCCAGCCACAGCTAGCCAAAGCTAGCTATAGATAGCCACAGATAACCATACCTAGCCATAGCTAGCCACAGCATGCCTCAGCCAGCCGTAGCCAGCCACAGCTAGCCATGCGAATGCCTGCACTCTCGTGCTGCTCTGAGGGCCGACCCCATCCGCATTTTCTTCTTCATTAAAACCTCTAGCTGCTTCAGTTTCCTACAGCTCGCCGTTGTCTTGTTAAGTTGTTTGCTGTCTCCTCGTTGGGTTTGATGGGGCAGCCAGGAGAGAGAAGACAGGCAAAAAGTGTATAGAGGGCCTTCTCAAAGGCGGCAGCCAAGCAGCAGAGTTGAAAGTGCTGCAGCAGCAGCGTCTCAAACAGCTGCAGCAGCAACACTACTCGGCTCTTTATATATATATATATATATATGTATATATATATGTATATAT